TCCTCTGGTTGTTTCCCATCTCTGGCTAAATAAAGAACGGTATCGCCATTAAGCTCTCTCTCATAGTGGCTATAGATAATATCGCTGGCTAATTTGTAGTATTCTGAATGCGAAGCCTTGAATCCGCTAAGTCTGATACGATTGATGGCATGAAGTTCCTTACTTTTGGTCTCCATTGTGAAGTGGTTGTCTTTCACTTCAATTGATTGTAAATATCGATGAAGTCTTGCTCTGACAAACTGTGGGGCATCTCGTCTTGTTTTGAAAAATCTGCAAATTTCCTCAGCATCTTCCGTGTGTTGATCAGTTACCAAGGGCTCAAAAATCTTCATATAGCACTGAACATAGAAGAGGCCATCATCTTCGGGATAAATCTCAACAAGCTGCTCAAGAGTTTCAACTGATTTTTCAAGTGCTTGAATGAATTCGCTGTCTGAATCATCCAATGGGTGTCTGTTGATAGGAATTGCATCTAATAGTGTTTGCTTCCAGTCAGTGTCATTTTTCTCCTTCTCTTCAGGCTTGATTTCCTCCTCTTCCTCGTCATCCTCATCAAAATCAAAATCAAAAGAGGGGAAAGTGGGTTCATCGCCTGGATCGCCTTCATTGTTTTCCTCTTGCTCGCCAACGATTTCATTGAAATATCCATAAATATCGGAATGGTATTCCATCATACTGACTTCAAGAACATAGTCACCAAAAGCACGGATATTGGTGTCAAATTCTTCAACAAGAAGCTTGACGATATCTAAATGACCTAAATATGCAGTATGCAGCCTTGCATAAAATGGCGTTTTTGTTGTGTTCTGGATTAAGGTGGGCTCTGACAGTTGCTACTGAGCCTTTTTTGATGGCAAGCTGTAGATAAGGTGGCAACCCTTCAAAGTATTCATCAATTTCAAGAGTAGTTTCTTCAATCATATTGTCTCCTTGTTGTTGTTATAACTTCAATTTAACGGTTATATTGAGTTTGTCAACATAGCAACTAAAATAAAAGACAGGAGACACAATTGAAGATAAGTGGAGGCAATAAAAAAGAGCCTTTCGGCTCCTTAGATTTTGGTTCGTATTCTCATCTGTCTAGTTTCCTCCATATTGCCTTGCATAGCTTCTCTGCTGAGCGAAGAAAGGCAACTCCACTTCTTACAAAGCCTGCCGTGGTGAGAGATCCCACAAAGGCAAAGCCAAGCAAGACAAGTAAAAGTAGGAAACCTCCTATGTGTGGGTTCTTCGCTGCATCGGCCATGTCTCTGAGAGCTGAAGTGGTCAATGCAAGCATGAATGCATTAACGAAGAGGAATGCTCCCGTCTCTTTAAGCAAGCCCTTGATATCCTCTTTGGGTGTTGTGTCAGTTTGATTATTCTTGAAAAACTGAAATTCTTCTTGTTGTAGTTCCATATCGTCTCCTTATATTTTTGCTTTGCCTTTGGAGCCTCCATTGTCATGAAGTTCAATAGAGAGCTTGTTGGCAAGCATGATGGTGCTTACTTTCTTTGAAAGTAGGGATGCGAGATAGCTATATGCTGCTTTGTCAGCTTTCTTGTGCTTTCTCACATACCAAAGATAGTCATTCAAGTTTGTCTCTAAGTTGTTCATGTCGTCGCTCCTTGTTTTTGTTCTTAATACTGACCTCTAAGCCATTTTTCGTGCTGGTCCAGTCTGTCTATCAATCCACCTGTTTTCTGTCTGAGTTCACCCCATTTGAAGGTGTGCTTGCCTTTGTAGGTCTCCAAGACAAGAGGGGCGAGTTGGTGAAAGACTTCCTTCGTTCTGGTGAGGATCGCCTTCTCGGTGTACCTGGCAAGCTCCAATTCAAAGTGAGCGTGATATGTGGTCTCGATCAGCTCTTGGCTCTCTGGAATGTGATTGAGAGAGAAATGAAGGTTGTAGTGACTCTTGTTGCTGGTTGGGTTGCTGATGCTCTGTAGGCTGAGCTCGTAGCAATCTGAACCAATCCACTCAGTAACCTTCAAGCCCTCATAGAAAGCATGGTTGAAAAGAAATCGCTTGAAGCTGTGGCTGTCGTCACGGATATATTCAATCTCAAGCTTCTTGTCCACGGTGGTTTTCTGTTCCATGTCTAGAAGGTGCCATTTCGCAACCAAGGCCATTGTGTATTCTTCAACGATCATTTGAAGCTCCTTGTAGTTTTGGCGGTGCTGCTGGCTTTGTGCTTCTGCCCAAGGCTCTTCATCATGTCGTCGTAGACCAAAGCTGCTTGAAGGCTCTGAATGCCTTTGTAAGCTGAATCGATCATCTGAAGGGGATCGTCAAAGACGGCAGAGAATAGAGGCTTCCCGTTCTTCAAGAATTCAATCTTGATCTGCTCGTGCTTGGCTGTGTGGTTGCCGACATTGAAGTACATATCAAGATTTTGTTGTTCTCTGATTCTCTTGATATCTGCCATCTTGTCTTTGTAGGCTTGTGGCAAGTTGTCAGTTGGAAGCATGACAAGGCTTGGGTCGTAGTGAGAGGCGAGCTTGTTTAATTCTTGCTCTGTGCAAAGCTCAAGTATGAAATAGTTTTTTTGTCCTCTTAATCTGTCTGTTGAATTCATGTTGGTTCTCCTTGTACCCCTAAAGCCCGCATGTAGCGAGCTTGATTGGTTGGGTGCTGGAGAACTTATCCTTGGAAGTTGCCTGTATCTTCTAAAGACTTCCAAAAATCCTTGGCAAATTTTTTGATGCCGTCCTTGCTCAAGAATTTCTCAGCCTCGGGCTTTTCAAGTGTTGTATGTTCCAACTCTTGCTTCTTCTCTAAACTCTTATCTAACTTCTTTTCCAATGGCTTATTCATCTTAAACATAACATCTCCTTTTATCTGTCAATATTCAATATAACGAATAAAAAGAATTTGTCAACATAGAAAGCAAGAAATATCTTGACTTATTGAAAATAATTTGACTTGCTTTTGTTTTCTGCTATTTGTGGACGGATTAAAGGAGGTTGATAGATGAAATATCAATATTTAGCACGAGAGAAGGAACTTCATTTCTGGGTAGTGGAAGAAGGCAAACACAAACACTTGATATATAGCGATGTGGGTGTCAACGAAGTTGATGATGCTGTTCGTGAAATGAAAGAGAGACTTGACGAAGACTATCGCCGTCAGAATGAAATAGAGGCTCACAATAGATAAGCCCTCCGAAGAGGGCTTGTGGTGTTGGTGTCATACCTTGATTTTTCCAGCTCGTGTGATTGATTGCTCTTGCTTGTCCTTATGTTGGATACCAAGCTTTTTCATCATGTCTTCGTAGCTGTCTTTTTGAGGAAG